ATATCAAACTCGAGGGATTTACTTATACTTCAGGATCTATCCCTGTTACGTGTTTCTTGGATAAAATGAAAGAGTAATCTCTCCAGATAAAATATCAGAAAGAAGAATTAGCCGCGGAAAACTGTGGATATAATTTTAGTAATTACTTTTGTTTCCCTAAACGTAAATTAGATTTTGTCTAAAGGTTATTTAGACGTGAAGTTTCCTTTCGTTTCTTTTTGTTTCCTTTTGTAATGTGGACATAATCAACAGACTTTTACTAAGTTCCGAGCCGTTGCTAACAAATATGAGATCCGTGCCAAGAAAGAAATCTAAATCATTTTTAAAAGAAACATCTTGGATATGCTTCTTCTCACTGACTCCACGCCAAGAAGAGGAGATATTTCAGTAGATGAAAATGATGTTGATTCTGTGGATGGAATGCACTCATTGCAATGCACATAAAGAAATTTGGAGTTTGTCTAGTTGAATATTTATTGATTAGTGGAATATTATGCTTTCTTAATTATTAAAATATTTTTACATATATATTTACACTTTATTTCATGAAAAACTAATACGAAATCTTTATAATAATCATACACATAATTAGTAGCACGTTTTAAACCGGAATTCGTCAAAAAATAATTTTAGCCAACTTTTCGGTACAAACATCCCACTGATCGGCGACGGTCGGCGCGAAATGAGCGCGGTTCTTACAGCGAGGGAAAAAAGTATCAGGCCTAATTTCAGAGTCGCTGTGAATTACCGATCTCGGCACGACAGAAAGACGAGCGAAAAATGCCGCGGAGCACTGTGCGATGCATTCTAGAGTTAATTGCAGGCTCTTGGATTACGGAGCGTAACCACAGATTTTCCAGGTAAAGCGGAACGATTATACTTCCATGACATTGTGACGTTTCGCAATGGAACGTTGCATCGTATCGAGACGATGCGTACGAGAGATACAATCATGGATGATCGAGATAACACGTGTACATTGTTTTGCAAAATTACAACGACGCACAGCTGCGACCGTTTCATTTCCCGCCACTTCGGACCGGTCGTCAAGATCGGCAAATTGTGCAGAAAGGAAGTAGTCATCGGTCGCTTTCGTTCGTCCGCCTCGCGACGCGTTCCGCTTTCCGCGGATTGATTTTTCGACGGCGGTGATTATCCGCGGCGCCAACAATTGAGATCCGCCGCGCGTTGTCGGAAATTCCGACGTGGCGGGATTTCGCTGCGGAGAAAAATCCGCGCGCGCGCGCGCGTATTCCGCACGTCGTTAGCTCGAGGGCGCTTGGGACCGACATTTGAAAACGAGATTAATCGCGTGATTTATCGAGAGTGGCGGTCTCGCGTAAGTGGATTCGTAAGAATCCACTTACGACCGGCGCGCGCTTATTGAATTACCGGATACACGGAGTGAGTAATTAACTCGCGATACGGAGGGACCGATAGCGCGCGCGGCGTCCGTCGATGAGTGAGACGGTTTCACAATTCATACCGCAAAAGGTTACGGCAACCTACGATAATTACACGCTTTGCACTATCGGTGCCGACCTCACGGATAAAATAAGCGCGGCTCTCTCGCGCGCGCGCGCGCGCGCGCGAGCGCTATCCCCATTAAATAAATTAATATCCGTCCGTAGACCGTTACTGGAATCGAGATAAGTGTTCGAGATAGCAGCATCCGACGGTTGGGATTGCTCGCAGCGCCTCCTCGTGTGTTCTCTAAATGATGTTTTCTAACGCGACGCGGTGTGTTGGCACTTGAACTGATTGGTATGTCGTTCTCTCTCTCTCTCTCTCTCTCTCTCTCTCTCTCTGTCTCTCTCTCTCTCTCTGTCTCTCTCTGTTTTTGAAAGCCTCACGAACGGACTCGAAAAGATCGAGAGCACCGATCGCCCTCATAATCCGCGATAGAAAATATAAAGCGAAGAACAAAATCCGTCGCAAGCAGCAGACAAGTACAGAGTTTTACGGCGATTGATCTCTCCGCGACGACGATGTCCGGACGATGCAACGAGATCAAGCAAAGAAAGGAGAAAAGAGGGAAGGAGAGGCGGAGAAAAGGGAGAAAGAAACATCATCGTACGGAAAGAAGCATTATGGTCTGGTCGACCCTTAAGTATCAAAGTATACGTTGGTGAAAGAAGGGACGATACGTAAAACCCGTACTTAACATCCGCTAATACCAGGCCTGCAGAGAGAGAGAGAGAGAGAGAGAGAGAGAGAGAGAGAGAGACGAGGGAGAAAGACCGCGCGCTTGACGCGAGTCACGGAAATCGTGTATACGCCGACACTCGTCGTCTTTGTCGTCGTCGTCGTCGTCATCGTCCCTTTCTCTCTTTTTCTTTCCCTCTGCTCCTTTCTTTCCTCTTTCTTCCTTTTCAGCTCTTTTCTCTCCGACATCATTTCAACGTTACCAAATTGTCCGACTAATACCAGCCGCCAGCAGGCGAGACCGTTACGCGCGCTGTTCCTCTCTCTTTCTCTCTCTCTCTCTCTCTCTCTCTCTCTCTCTCTCTCTCTCTCTCTCTCTCTGTCTCTCTCGCTCTCGCTCTCGCTCTCGCTCTATCGCCACGCTTCCTCTCTCGAACATTATAATTTATAAGCTCGCGCGCGGCACAATGTCGACCTATTTGGCGCGTACGGAAATTTATGATCGGTTTGACCCGTCGGATCGAGACGTCGGCGGGAATCGATCTCGGCGGCCAGTCATAGATAATACGGACAACTTGTTTACTTTCTCCCTTTGCTCACCCGCGACGACGACGACGACGACGACGACGACGACGACGACGACGACGACGACGACGACGACGACGACGACGACGACGACGACGACGACGACGACGACGACGACGACGACGACGACGACGACAACGATCATGATCTTTTGAATATCAAACAGGATCCGTATTCGGACCATGCGCGCTTATACGGCGCAATCGTGTGCTCGGTCGTTTGAGCCGCACAGAACGACGACGACGACGACGACGACGACGCGGCAAGAATGGCCAGCGCATCAATAGCAAAAAAGCCGCGAGATATCTATCGCTTAGATTTATAGAGCCGTTCCCGTGTATCCGTCATAACACGCTGACATTAACGGGATGATGGTGCGTTTAATCGATAGAGCTCGGCTATGAAACGCGCGCGCGCGCGCGCGCGTGAACGCGTGACGGCGATAGGTCGGCCGATGCCGACGCTAAGACAATAAATTCCGCCGACGGATATTGCCGCGTGTCCGTGGCGAATTTCATTTTCTAGCTTCTGATTATGCACGCGCTCCTCATAATGGCGCATTCCTCATTTTCCCGCTCGTTTGTCGTCCAACGTACCGCGGGCAGCTTCCACGCCTCGTTGACTCGAGAGCGTCGCGTCGCGTCGCGTCGCGTCGCCGTTCTCTCGGTCGAGGATTTCGAAGCGAGATGATCTCGCATCGCGGACGCGCCAAATTTCGAAATATCGGGATACAGCGTGCCCACCACCTAGCCCGCCGTGCGAAGATGAAGAGTTCCGAGTTATAAGTTGACCATCTCTTTGCCCATATAGTAATAACGCGCTTTGCCCCGCCTCGAAGGCACGATATTAAGCATTCCAGAGCAACGATGCAATAATGCGGGGCTATCGATGTGCATAGGAACGAAAACAGGAACGGTATAAGGGCGAATTTAAAATATTCGCCCAAGATATTGCCCTGATCACGGTTACGCACTCACACTCGCGCGCACGCACAGCCACACGCACGCGTGTATATGCACGCGGATGGAGCGCGGGGCAGGGGGAGGGGGACGGCGAGGCGGTATAACATAATCTCGGATCGGAAGCTTTGGTTCCGATATTCCTCGCTCCGCCGACTCGTGAATCTTACTTTGACCTTCTACGGGAATGGACTACGGCAGTCTTAACTGGATTATTGCATTCCTCCGGCCGCTGGACGGAACTGATTACCGTCTGATTTCTGCCACGGAGACGAGAACGAGAGCTGCTCTCTCTCTCTCTCTCTCTCTCTCTCTCTAAATTTCGTCAGATGAAACGTCTCACTGCAAACGAGCGAGAATTCAGAGCGCCGCGCGCCAGCCGGTGAAAATCGCTTCGAGTGAACGCGTTCTCATCGATTAGAGCGAATTTGTGGCGTCAAATTCGCAATCGAGTGAAACATCGAGTCTCGACTTCGCTCGACTCTCGATATATTTCGAAAGGGCTAATTTATCTTGCGCGATCTCGCGCGCTGCTCCTCGTCAGCTTCGCTCTTCAGTTCCGAGCGCGTCCGAAGCCGAAGAAGAATCACGAGAACCGCGAGGAATTCACTCCGTCTGCGAAACCGCTCGAATTCCAGTGACTCAGCCGTCACTCCGCTTTTTGAATGAGATTTCACTCCAAGAAAGTGAGGCGACCGGTTGTTGGGCTGTCGGTTGGGTACACGACGCGACGGTAGCCGCGTGTCGCTCACGACGCGAAATCTCGCGGCTGGTTCGATTCGCGACATCGATCGTGCTCGTCGGAATTCGCGGCGTTCGGCCGCGCGGCTGCGCGCACAATCAGCCCCGTTAATAGAACCCGTTTAGATGGAAGCCGCCCGCCGTCGGGCCGCCTTGTAACTCCCGGAAATCTTCCTCCGGCCCATTAGAGCTATTAAATCGCCCTATTAAACGATGCTTATTTTGCCATTTAACGAGGGGCGCTTCATTACCGGCGCTATGCGCGAACGAGCGAGTAAAAATACGTCGGTTGACGCGCGCGACCGTGTTCGCGCGCGTTACATCCGCTTCCTCGGCGACGGCGTTCTTCGGACACGACGACGGTGGCGCGCGTCCGGCGAGAAGCCCGTGATCAGGAATGAACGAAAAGAGGCACGACGGAAAAACCGGAGAGCGATAAAAAACGCGCCTCTAAGGTACTACGACGAAGGTTCCGAGTCGATCGAGAGCCTCTCGTTGTCGGAGAGGAAGGAGAGGGAGGGCCTCGCGCATAAATCTCCCCCTAACGAGCACGTTTTATTCATTTTGCAGATATGAAACCATCGGACAGGAGCGAGAAGACCATGTTGAGCGGAAACGCGCAACCGTCGGACGTGTTCTGCTCGGTCCCGGGACGATTATCGTTACTAAGCAGCACCAGCAAGTACAAAGTTACGGTAGCAGAGGTACAAAGACGGCTATCGCCTCCGGAATGCCTGAACGCGAGTCTCCTCGGCGGCGTACTCCGAAGGTGAGAGAGATCGATTTAGGAGAGATCGACGTATGGCATTGATCAATTCGCGCGCGCGCGCGCGCGCGTCCTGTCGCGTCCTGTCGCGTTCTGTCGCGTGGGAAAGATAAGCTCGCGCCTCGTCCGAGGAGGGTCATTTCTAGCTGAATTTCATTCGACCAAGGTAAAGCAGCGAGAAAAATGGGTAAAAATCGAGAGGAAATCTCTAACTCAAATTCCCAAGCGACTTTAATAAAACGAGGATAAATTTAATAGCGCGTCAACTATGTACGGGAATGATGAAAGCGCGTGCGTTCTCGACAAATTTAACGCCAGGCGTTATCTGGCGAATCGGAGAGGAAGAGGGCGATAGAGAGAGAGCCGTTTGTCCGCCGGTTACAGTGATTCTCCTCTCTCTCTCTCTCTCTCTTTCTCTTTCTCTCTCTCTCTCTCTCTCTCTCCCCCTCTCTCTCTCTCCCTCTCTCTCCTGCCCCTTCAGGCCGCCTTTTGCACACACAAGCTTCTCCCTGCTGGCGCTCTTGGAACGGCTCTCCCAGCAGGGAGAGCGGGAGCGGGGTTCATTCATCCGTTTTCGATTACGCCGAGCGGCCGCTTAGGCCCTCGAGCTCTCTTAGCAGCCCATAAACAAACCGTTAGAATAATTTGGCGTTACGCGCCAAGCGATTAAATATCGTTCCCGTGAGAATCGACGCCGCTATCGGCAGGTAGAAAAGATCGAAGGTGCCCGATACCGTTGCCCGTCCGAAGTTGCTCGGCCGCTACGCTCGCGCAGCGTGCGTCGTCGTCGTTTTATCTCCATTATCGCGCGCTTTTGTGTCGCGGGTGAAATTAATTTTTCAATTCGACAAGAGTGGACCGCCAGTCGCGCGAGTGACCTCTTCGCGCGCGCACTCGCACTCGCGCGCGCGTGCGCGCGCGAAGATCGGAATCGTCGAGAGCGAATAACTCTGCTCGGGTCTCGGGAGAACATTCAACTTCTCAGCGAGATTCTCCAGTCGAAGAAACCCGCCGAGTATACACGAGTTAACGAACACGGCGGCGCCGCGAATTGCGCTTCTCCGGCGAGGAAACGAACGTGGCGCGTTACGCACTTCCCACGGGGCTCGCGGCGCTGCGCCGGGAAGAAATCCGCGGATATCATCCCGATATTCCGCGGGGCGATAACGAAACACGAGACAGCCCCGGAGAGCCCAAGCGTGTGCTTGTATGTGTGTGTGTGTGTGCGTGCGTGTGCAGTTCTCGCAGTTGCGCGGCCCGCAGTCGAGTTTCACTTCCGGCCGCCGCGCCGCGCCGCGCCGGCGCGCGCGTCGAAAATAATCGGCATGACCGATGCGCGAGAGCCGCGGCGCGAGGGACAATAAACGCGCGGCATACGGGGGATATAACGCCCGGGATCCTCGCGCGATGCGCACCGTTATACGACTTTATCCACGGCACTAATTAATAAAGAGCCCGCCGCCGCCGCCGCCGTGCTGTTCGGCTCATCCGGTCGCCTTACACTCTCGGTTGCCGGGGCGGAGGCAACCGCCTGAGATTTATGGCAGCTCCTCGTGGGGGAGCGTCCTCCTTTATCTGATTCGCCGTGTTATCTGCCTAGAACAGTGCTCATTGCGCAATGCTTTATCACCGAAGGCATGGATAAATCACCGTACAAGTAGCCGGACCGTACCGCCGCTTCCACGCCAGCTCCCGCTCGCGCGTCGATTCCGCAAGTCGCGGCGAAAAGAGGGTGTGCGCGCCGGCCGGTGAGGCTTACTTTGCGCTGCCAACGCGTACAATGCACGGGGAAGAGTGCTTGCTTTGAATGGGCCGATCCTTCCGGTGAAATATGAAATAATGAAATTCTGTTTAAGTCGAGCGGACAATTTTTCGTCATTTCAACGGAATTCGAAGCCTCAACCGGAGAATTTCCATGTCGCTGAGATATTTCAGCAGGAAACTGGACTCGTTCAGATATTTTCTCCTCCGCAGAGCTCGAGCGCGATCGCTCTTTCCCAGTGAAATTTCTCGTTCAAAAGAGTCAAGTTGCCTGGCAAGGGAGCGGGAATTACATGCGGAAGACTGCTTTTACGAATTTTTTTTCAACAGAAAAACGGCAAGATCAATGGACTTGGAATTTGCACAATGTATTCGTTAATGTTCAAAGCATAAAATAAATTTTATTGAATCACAAGAACCGATCCAATTTGTAATTATAGATAAATAGTCATCCGTTTACGAGCTCTATGTTTGCTGTTGACATAATTCCGAGCCTCTCACTACTACTCTGCAACGAAAATATGGGAACAATTTTTTAAGTGCGGTTGCCATTATAGCCCAAATACCAAAATCAAGGCAGTGAAACCCAAGTTTGGAAAAATAATGACTGTACAAGAAAAAAAGTATAAAAAATGAAACTTTTTTTCAACTTGTAATCGTATTCAAAAGAATGAATAAAATAAAATATAACCGTGTTCGAGGTAGGGACGAAAACTACATGTCTACTGTATATTATGCAAAAAATTTCAAGTTATTCGGTTCAATAGTTTTTGCGTAATCGTGTCGACAGTTTAAAAAAATGGTGTTTCCAGATAAACGCGTTTCTAGTTCTATGTGTATACTTTCCTTGGTATAGATAGTAACAAATTTATTTTATACTTTGAACATTGATGAGTGCACTGTGAAAATTTCAAGTCCATTGATCCTACCGTTTCTGTTAAAAAAAATGTTCTGTTAGAAAAGTAGCCTTGAAAACGGCCTGCTCCGCATGTAATTCCCCTCTTAAAGTCGCAATGGCAAACGCGAACGAAGTCAAATATGTAAAATACGTACAGTTATGTGGACGCAGCAGAACATTAAAGTGTCGTTACAAAAAGTTGCAACTCTCATTGATATTATAATTAACGTATAAAACAATTTGCTCGCCGTTCTTGGAAGAACTCGCCTCGAGCGCGCATGCCGCGTGCCGGCGCAGGCACGATCGATTAGAGTCACCCGCAACTTTTAATCCGAAGATTTCGTCCTCAAGATGCTAAGGATAACCCCGGCTAAATCCAATATTGAAACGACACGCATGCAGCATGACGCGCAGCATCGCCCACGGTTCCTCTCTCGGTGGCGCGCGGGATCTTTCGTGCGCCGCCGCGAAAGAAAGCTCACTAATAAAGCGGCCCGATCTATCCCCGATGCAAATGAGACATTAATAACCCACGCAGCTTCGAGTGTCAATTCCTGTGAATGAGCGAGCGAGCGAGCGAGCGAGCGAGATACGCCTGAGGCGATCGCGCGGCGTTTCGCGTCGAACGCGACGTTATAATTCATCCGCTCGCATAACGATCTGACCGATAATTACACGCAACAAGGTCCGAGTCGCCACTATAGATTCTCCCCCACCCCCCCCCCCTCGCTCTCTTTCTTTTCTCTTTCCAGTGCCCTCCTTTTGTGTCTCACCCACCGTGTATCCTCGTGCCCATTCGTGCATGATGTGAGTCCATAAGGATCCGCCGCGACAGTCGTTTGCTCGCTCGCGGTACGTCGCGAGAAATCCTCCGAGATCGATCGCGCGGCATATGCCGAGAGAGAAGGAGAGAGAGAGAGAGAGGAGTGCTTTTGTCGCAGATGCATCGGCTGGCTCTCCTCCCGTTTCCTTTCCCCCCTTTTTTTTGCTTCTCCTCCTTTCTTTCGCACGATTTTTATCGCTTCGAGCGTCATACGTGTCGCAACGCGCGGTCTCTTTTTTCCTCTCTCTCTCTCTCTCTCTCTGTCTCTGCCTGTCTCGTCGTCTCAGCTCCATTTAATTTCATCTCGTCGTTTGTATATTTATGCACGCACGTGCACACATACGCGCGTACACAAGCGCCCGCTCGGGTTTATTCCGCGAATCGAACAAGTGCGAACGCGAGCACCGGTATCGCGGTGTCGCGATTAGCATAAACGTCCGCTGGAGATATCTCGCGATCGGGAGATCGAGCGAGCGATCGGTCGGGGACTGAAACTGGACGGCGCGGTTTGTTTCGTCGGTTGTTGTGACTGTGAATTAATACGAGAGCGAAAGAGCCGCGCAGGCACAGCGCGCGCCGCGTTTAGTCGGCCGACGAAATATTGCGACGTCCGGCCGATCGCGCCGAGACACTCGGGGACGCATCTGTTTTACAAGTTGAAAGTCGGAAAGTCGAAGCGAATCGCGAACTGGCTTCCGCGATCGGACGCCGCGCCGGCCGGCCGGCTGGCCGACGAGTTCCGCCGCCGCTCTCCCGTTTCTTCTCTCCGTTCTTCCCTTCTTTTTTCGGCGGCGGCGGCGGCGGCGGCGGCGCGATGCATTCGCGCTGCGGGAGATTGTTGTGCGCGCACCAATTATTACGTAAGCGCTACGCGGCTACGCTAATGCCACACAGTCAGGTTTCTCTTTCCGGGTGAAAAGACTCGCGGCGAGAAAAACCCTCGCGTATTATTATATTCCCTCGTCGCGATTCTCGTTTAACCGACCGACCGATCGGTCTTTCATCGCAGTTCATCGATCCACCATCCATGCGAAGCGTCGTGTTCCTCGACGGTATCCTTCGTCGGTTCCGGTCACGAGGTGTTCACGTAACGAACCCAGGCGAGTAAAAAACCGAACGAAACGATCCCCGCCTTCGCGTATGCGAAGTGTGTCGTGCGTGCGCATGCACGCACGCGCGCGCTTTACTAATTGTCGGCCGTGATTCCGCCTCGTCTTCTTCGCGAAACGAACGAGGAGGCGGAAGGTATTCTTGAATGAGCCCTGATCATGAAGTCCCTCGGTTTACTAACCGTCGCGTGGCGCCCGTAGCGCGATTAACGATGCTAGTATTCGAGGACGTCTCGAGTAATCTCGGGGGAAGCGAAGCCGGGTGTTTCCTATCGGCGGGGGCTCGACGACAACGACGAGGGTGGGTGAGTGACGAGGGTGGTCTCGCGCGGAAGCGCGCAGGAGGCGCGCGTCTGAGCGGATCCGAGGATCCTTCTCGGCACAAGACTCCGTAATGAGTGCAGCCTCGCTCTCGTCACGTAACGGCGCGAAACGACGCCAATGATCGTTAACAACAAATACAAGAATTCGATTTCTCCCCCTCTCTCTCTCTCTCTCTCTCTCTCCCTCTCCCTCTCTCTCTCTCTCTCTATCTTGCGTGCTCGTGCGATCGATTCTCCGCCGACGTTATTAATAATCGCCGTCGTCGGAGCTCCACGAAATTCTCTTCCTCGGCGCCCGACACGCATATCCCGGTGCCGCTCCCCGGTGAGATCGATGCGCGTGCAGGCCGCGTAATCGGTGACGATTATCGCGCGCGCCGCGCCAAACCAGTTCCTGCGGCCCGGAGATGCGCGCGTCAATAAGTCATGCCAATGCTCGCGAATTATCGCGCCGCTCTGTCGCTCGGTAGATTGTCGCGGATCGTTGATTAACGAGCGACCTTTTCGCCGGCTTCATTTTTTCCGCCGCTGGAAACGGGCGCGCACCTTCGAATTTAGCGTCGCGCCTCGAACCGAGGTGGGGCCCCGGCTTGACGTAAGTGGCGCAAGTGACATTATGGAAACTTGAGCTCCCCCAACAGGGAGACGGGGGAAGCACGTCGACGAGATCCGAAGAAGCCGATATTAAAAACCCATAGCGGTAAAACGTATTAATTGTCGAGCGAGGCGAAAGATTTCCGGGCGGGCCGGTCGCGGCTAGAACGAACAAAGGTAGGCGATACGCGTTACCGTTATAACAGGCCGGAATGATGGATGGACAGGGTGTGTTGGGAAAGAAGTCGCCGCTACTATCGCCTTCCCGTTGATGTGTGTTCCGTGAAAAAATTTACTTCGCGCCGTCGTCGTCGGATTAATAACACGGAACCGCCGCCGCCGCCGCCGCCGCCGCCGCCGCCGTGTGACAGTCTGCGCGCAAGCGTGGAAGAATTAAAACGCAATTTTTAACGGTGCCTCGATAGACTTCGCTCAAAAGGCAAAAGAGAGAGAGAGAGAGAGAGAGAGAGAGAGAAAGAAGAGAAAAAGACACGGACACGTATCCGATACGGGAATCAACGAGAGAAGTAAGACACGAGAGACAAAACTCTCTCCTCTCCGCGCGGAAGAGTAGGTTTCGGCAAGAATCTTCAAGAAAATATCACGTAGCTTGCGATGACCTCGATAAAAAAAAAAAAAGAGAGAGAGAGAGACAGAGGCGGAGAGAAAGAAGGAGGTGTTCGTTAAACCAAGTCTGCTTTCCGAATTATCGAATGTTACGCGTGCCTATGGAAATCGCTGATATCTCTCGGGGCAGCGTGGCAGCGCAACGCTGTTTCTCCGGCGCGTTTAATTAATCGCGACGAGTTGATCAAGCGTCAGATCTAACCGCCGCGCGCGTGTTATCGCGCCGAGCGTTATCTCCTCCGGCCGACGATTAACCCAGATCTCCGCACGTGACGAGGGCACGCCCGCTGAAAATCCCGGGGTCCTGTCCGCGGGTCCTGAATAGGGTCGCGCATAGTGCTCCTTACAGGCCTCGGACGAGGATATCTTTCCCGGCTCGCGGCTCGCGAGGCTCACGAGCGAGAACGGCCGCGCATCCTCGAACGTACGTTGCTCCACGACGGCGCGGCGCGGCGCGTCGAGAGTTGCTCAATCGCCGATGACACACGTAGCCGTGTGGATTATGCTAATCCAGCCGTATTTCCAGCTCCCGCCGCCTCCTCCCCTACACGCCCCGCCGTGGTCCCCTTATTTTTGCCGCTTCTCTGTCTCGTCCGTTCTCGCGCTCCCAGGCTCCTCGATTTTGTCTTTTTAAAGATGATCGCGGCGAAAATGATTAATGGCCGAGTTCCGTTTTGAGATTCTTCTCACCGCCGCCGCCGCCGCCGGAACGGACGGCGCGCGATAGTGGGCGTCCGCTCTACGCGTGTGAGCGAGCGAATATTGTACGCGCGAGACGGTACGGTAGGAGAATAAATAATACATTATTATCGGACGCGCGAATATTAAGTGTACTCGCTCACGCGCGCATGCGCCTGTTACTTATTTTTTTTCGCAAGGATGCAAATTTTGCGAGGGGGTGAGATAAATCAAGTTTATTATCTCGCTAACGCGGCCCGCGATTTCGCTTCGATCTTATGCCACCGAGTCACGAAAGTTCTCTCAAAGGCGAACTTTAAAGAACGGAGACGTACGAGAAAAAAAAAAGAAAGTCGTAAGAACGAATCGCTTTTCACGAAACGGCCTTTTTTTCACTTGACGGCTGTCAAGTCGGCTTGAAAATTGATCATTTAAACAATCATCGAGCGGCCTTAGAATCAGGCACTCGACGTTAAGTTACTTACAAATTGAACGACCTGAAAATCTATCAGCGATCTACGAGAAGAGTAAAAATTACCCGACGGAAAGTCGAGAGGAAACACCTTCTAAAGAAACCTTGCTTCTTGCGTTTTTCAGGGCGAAGTCCAAAAACGGCGGACGTCTGCTTAGGGAAAAACTGGAAAAAATTGGCCTAAATTTGCCAGCCGGCAGAAGGAAGGCGGCCAACGTTACGCTCTTAACATCTTTAGTGGAAGGTGAGTGTTTTTCTCCCGTTTTCACGAGCTACGTAAAGACCCGCGAGAATCGTCGGCCGGCAGGGCCGCTTTTAGCCGCTTCCGCGGGAGAACGAGGCAAAAAGTTACGCGCGTCTTTCATCCACGGTAGGCGATAATCACATTTAATTTATCGTCGTCGTCCATAAGCCCGTCGCTCGTATATCGTCACGCGAATAATCGCAGGCACGAGATATCGCAGTGGCGCTTCTCCGCCTCGCAGAATTCGTGTTGATGACATCATCTCATTAACGGTCCGTGTGTTAACTCTTTCAAAATTCTACGTTCGCGAGCGCGCTCCAGCTGCAACCTTGTTGCGTTCGGCGCGCCATTAATCGCGCTCATTTATCCGTCTCGCCTCGATAATAACGTGGAGTATCACGACCAAAGAGCCGCTCTATAATTATCCGTTAATAGCTCCGGTTAATGAAGACCCCGCCAAGTACGACGTTTATTGAAAAATACGACGTGTCATAATGCGATATCGTGATATAACGTAACGCGAACGCAACGTCTCGATGATTTATGTGTTGGGCGCTTGTCCTTCTCAATCTTTCGATGCGCGTAGATCACGTCGCTCCCGGACCAGAAAATTGTCAACGTTGGTAGACGTTTATCTGATATTTTAGAGAGAGAGAGAGAGAGCGAGAGAGAGAGCGAGAGAGAGAGAGAGAGAGAGAGAGAGAGAGCGAAGAAAGAAAGAGAAAGATAACCGTCTATTTATTCACGAGTAAGTCTCACGAAGCTTTGGTTATCCTCACTCGGAGGCGTATCGATATACGCGACGTATGTGCGAAAAATATCGCCGGTATATTGTAAATAGAGATTTACATCGCGCGCGCGCGCGAGAAATCTCGCGGAATTCCCGCCGCGGAGTATCGAAATATCAATAACGGATGACGGCCGGCGTATTAGCCGATCGTATAAGCGTAATCGCGGCGTTCTCCGGCGATTTATCGCGAACGATAAACGTAACGCTTTCCGATTTACTACCGCCGTAATTTACGGGAGGAGGGTTCATTCTCCCCTATTCCCTCGCCCCCTCTCCTCACCCGCGACCCGTCCTCACATTCTCCCGCTGTCATGAACGCGAAGAATTACATTCCTCGCGACGCCCACTTGTCTCGTAGGGCGCAGTGATGAAATCATCTCTTCGGAATAGCCCGCGAGCGGGAGCGCACGCGAGAGCGAGAGAGAGAGAGGGGGGGGGAAGAGAGAGAAAGAAAGAGAGAGAGAGAGAGAGAGAGAGAGAGCGCGTTAAAGCGAATTTACACGGTTCGAGTTTGACGATCATCATCATCATCATCATCATCATCATCATCATCATCATTCCGGGATGAGTCATCCCGTGCAACCGAACGGTTGAATAAATTTTTATTTAGACACGCAAGACACCGCGCGCGCGCTCGAAAGTCTCCGCGCAAGACGGAGCGTCCTCGTTGCCGGAGCCACTACAGAAGAACAAACATTCGGATCCGTCCCCGTGTAACACGTCTGAAATTCAGATGTTCCTCGTCCCCTCGTCGCCCTCCCCTCGTTCTATTCGGGTTTACGCGCGCGTCTCTTTCTCTCCTCTTCTCTATCGTGCACTCGTATAAACCGAATTACATCTCGTTACAGCGACACCGTTATATCTCAAATACGCGGCGAGAGATGGGACCGTGTGAAAAGAACCGAGGGTCAGGGTTACGCAAATTTCCTTGCAGGAGCTGCGATCGTGCCGCGGAGGCCGAGAAATCGAGAAATCAGGACGGTTAATTCGCTGCGCGAGTGGAAACTCGCCGCGCGAGTCTCGCAAAATCGGACTCTAACCCGATCCGAGCAGTCTGGTCTGATTTTTTCCTCGCCGTCATTTTTCACATTAGAATGGCTACGCGACTTTCAGGCTCAAAAATGAACGTACAGAGCACTCGACCGGCTCAACTTGTATGTACAAAGATATTCAATAAGATCGCGCACTGCGACATGCTTTGACAGCATCAGCTTTGGTAATAATATATCATAATTTCGCATTGGAGACTATCAGCGCGCGAAATCTATAATTTCATGAGCGGTATCCGTTCTAAAGCTAATTACGACATTTCTTATCTCGAGCAATCGTCGAGAGAACGAGAGAAAGAGAGAACGAGAGAGAGAGAGAGAGAGAAGAGAGAGAAAGAGAGAGAGAGAGAAGGGGAGAGAGAGAGAGAGAGAGAGAGAGAGAGAGAGAGAGAAAGAGAGCTTCAGCGGGCCGCAACGTCGTTCCTTTTGTTCTTCCGTCTCGCGACGGCAACAGCGAGCTTTTTGCTCGCGGAACGATCGCTAATCACTGCGACATCCTACGGGATATCCCCCGAGCCGCGCGAGAGAGCGCTTAATAACGAGCGCGTGTGCGCGCTGCGCCGGCCAACGGTGCCCTAATGACGAGCGCTTGGAAGTTTGTTAGAGCGTTGGCACCGACGTTGATTATAATTTATGGTCGGTGGGCTTCCATAAAACATCGAGCGTGCTTTTCTTTCCTCCGCGCGCGCGCGGTGAGACGCTGCGCACGTCCTCGTCCTCGTCCTCGCGCCTCGACTTCTCCACATGCGACACGCGCGACTCGACTCGACTCGGCCTCCTTGCCGGCCGCCGCGCATCTCGTCGACGGAGATCCTTCGCGGCGATTTAACCCTCCGAGTAGCAACAACGTCCTCGTTCGTTACCATCGTAAGTGCGCGGTAGCGCCGCTGGGACGATTCACGACGCGAATCCTTCCGCGCGCAAATCGCCGTAAGCGCGCCCGCGTAAGACGTAAACTCGGCCCGAGGAAGCAATCAGGGCGCTGCTTCAGACCCGAGTACGCTCTACGGTGAGATGGAACTGACGGTAAACGCGACCGTAAGCAGGTGTAGCTACACTAGGAAAACGAAATGTAGCATCTCTAACAAAACTGTTTAGTTGAGTCGCATTTTTCAACAGCAACCAAATATCTTGTTTTGTATAACAAAATATTTAGTTGTCTCAACTGAATATATTTTTCTGCTTTGTTCTCCGGACCAAATGATTTTGTTCTTAGACTTCTTAGTGCATAAAAATTAAGCATTTTAGTTATTTTATCCATAAAAATTGCATAATAACGAAATATTATTTTCCATAAACTAAAATAACGCTCAGTGGATGCTATTTTGTCTTTCTGTGCGCTAAAATTTAGATTTTATATATTAAGAAAAAATTATAGCATTTTTAACAAAATTCATATATAGTTGAAGCTCGTTTTTGGTTGCTGTGTAACAAAGGTATCACGTTATACGAACAAACCGTAATCAAACAAGATATTTGTTTACAGGAGCTAAACAGTTCTTGATCGGGCATATTTTAACCAAATTATTTGTTGTTGTTGCAACAAAACATTTGGTTCACGCAACAATACATTTTTCCTAGTGTAGGACGCAAGTCCTGGTTATACCCGGCCCGAACCTCACGGTCTCTTCTGTCCTCTTTTAGCCTGAGCAATCTTGAGACCAATCCTGAAGCGACGTCTTCGTCGCTCCTTCAGCTCGAGTTCACGTCTCACGTTCGCGTTTTGCGATTTGCGAGTGCGACAGCCCCCTCGTCCCCCCTCCCCCCCCCCCGAGACCACAAAGATCCGGCCGCGTAAACGCGAAATTAAACGCGCGCGAGCGGCCGATTAAACGCGCGTTACACCGCACTCGGCTCGGACGATTGCAAGTCGCGGCGGCGGCGGTGCGGCGCGCGTTGCCTTCAACAATCGCATTGTTGCGGCGCCGTCGGGCCAAAGTACCGATCGCCCGACACACGTCCTCGCCATGCCCGGACGTGCGGTCGGACGAGCGGCACGGGCTCTGCTCGCGAAAGCAACGTCACTCGTACTCGTAAAAAAGCGAGACCCCGACGAGTTAGCTCGTGGCAACGAGCGCCGCGGAGTGCTCGTTATTAACGCGCTCGGAAAACGGCTGATTAATCGTGTTTATTGGCCGCGGCTTGTGCGGTGTCCGGCTGTGTCGACGAAGAGGCGCGTTCGCGGCCGCTTGAAATATGCACGCGCTTTTCTATTTGCATGCGGATCGTGCACGAACGAGCGAGCGATCGCTGTTATTAAGCGATCAAAAGTCCTGCAATGTGTTCTTATAAATATATACAGCTGCGCGCGACAGTCTCGCGCGGTGATCCCGTTCTTAATCGATAGCTTCCTCTCTATCGCGTTTCAATGGATGCTGCGCGGGGAGCTAATGACAGTGTTTCGGATTTCTGCGCGCGATCTGGCATGAAGGCGCACAAGTTCGCCCGGCGATCTCTCGCGTTTTAGATTTAGACGGATAAGAGCGCGCCGCAGCGGAGCGCGAGGGGGGGGGGGGGGGAGAGAGAGAGAGAGAGAGAGAGATCGCGAGATAAACGATGCAGCAACTCTCGACGGTATCACGGCTGCATGAATTGTTCGGGGATACTAATCTGTGAGCCTTTGTTGAGAGTCGAGCGTTTTTACGCGCGCAGAATGACCACGGGGGAGTTGCTCAAACTAAATAGCCGTTATTTCGTAACGAGCGAGCCGAACGAAATGAATGGGACAGTGTTCCACGGAGGAGAGACTTTTCAGCAGCAGCTTCGTCATTGCGCGGAGGAAATAATCGCGCGAGGCCGTAAAAGCATACATTGTGGAAAATTCTGCTTGTGGACAAATCGGTGGAGAAAGACTCGACAGACTTGGCGTCTGGCGACGAAGTGTAATGATACCGCGTGGATTTCAATTCGCCGTAGCGAGCTTTTATTGGCGAAAATATCACGCTCGTTGCAAGATAATAGCTGCCCGGTTGCAGCAACTTGCCGAGCGACGGGTCACCCTGTCACATCACCGCGGTCTTGCCAAGTAAGGGTTGCCGGAGCGAGTTAAACGGCGCGCTCTCTTTTCCTCGGATTCGAGGATACGCCGCCTCGTTTTCCGATCCGCCGCCGCCGCCGCCGCCGTCGTTACGTAAGCCCGCCGCTCGCGGGAGACCACCAGG